ACCTCAGTGCTGAGGTGCTGAGATCCCACAGGAGGGTACAGACAGTGACACCCCCAGAGGCTGGCAAGGACAGGGTGCTCACGGCCACAGCCCGGCTCCAGAGGCTCTTGCTCCATCCCTTGGCTCCGTGCTGCTCAACTTGAAAAGGAAATATTTCTTCCCCTTTGGGAAAGCTCCAGAGGAGCGTGGCAGCAACACACATCAGCCCCATTCCGAGTGCCTGAGGAACACAATAGGCAGCGCCTCCTCGGCGCTCCAAACTGCCACCCCCCGGGGCCAGCAATGCCACAAAGCAATCCCTTAAAAACACGGGATTTTGGGAAAAGAGACAGAGCTGCTCATGCTCCTGGGCAGCCAGATGCCAGTCCCACAGCAGTTTTCCCCAGGCAGTTTGCTTTGCCATCGTGGCTCCAGCTGTGAGGTGTCCCAGGAGCAATCCTCATGTGCCTGAGTTCCATGTTTTAATGGGGAATCTCACACAAGACAAAATAATCTTGCAGGACACAAGAGAACACTCTATTAACACATCTTATAGCTACAGAACTCATGTCAAAATAAAGATCCACAGACAGAGTCAGAAAAGAGAGAACCACTTTTCCTGGCAAGCCTGAGATGAGTGAGCAGCCTCCTGCAACCAGGTCTGTGTTTAAGGAAGAAAAAAAAAAAAACCCCAAACCCCCACAAGAAAAGGAACATTCACTTCTCTCAAAATTGGTCATGATTTTACAAAGGCAAACACGGTAATGCCTCCCAGTTCTTTGGCTTTCATGGCATCTTCTACTCAAAACATTTCCAGACTGATAAGGTGAGGGAAAAACAGGCCCTGTGAGCACCACAGAATGGAACACACTTCCCTCTTTTACAGTTCTGTTGATAAGGAGGAAGAGAACTGATTTTTTCACCCTTTTTTCTTCCCTCCTTTGCTGCCTGGTCTGGAACAAGCTTGGCCACATCAAGAAAACTGAGAAAGAACAAAAAGCAGCCCTGGAGAGGGGTGAGCCAGCCCTGCTGGATGCTCCCACAGCCCAGCCAAACCCTCCCTGTTCCCGAGGGTGGATTT